TGCATTCCAAATTCAGTATGTCTCCTTTGAGCGCATCCTTTTCTTGGGACGGATTTCCTGTGTCAGCAGATTTCCTGTGTCAATTCACAAGAACATATCTTTCTGATTGAGAAAGGTTTGAAATGGCATCCACTGAGTAATTGCTGTTTGGTGGCTTCCCCTGGTGATTTGAAGAATTAAAGAGTTGAGGTGATGCTTGGATATGCCTACATTTTAAAAGTGAAAGCTGAATTCTTGCGTAGTTTTGAATTCCAGGGTGATTTTTTTTTTTTTTTAAGATCATTAAATGCTTCTACTGTTTTGCATGTCATGAGGGGAAGTCCTGAAAACTAAAACGTACCACTTTCCAACTGTTGAGTTGCAGTTGAGAAGAGCTTGGGACATGGCAGAAAGCATACACTTTCTGAGAGTTGAAGAATTTAATTTACTTTTTGCATTTTTATTTGTGCTTGAGGAGCATGTATCTTCAAGAGGAAGATCAAATGTTAATTTCTACTGTTCTGTTTGTTATGTGGAAGTGCCATTAGAAAAGTGTAGGAGGAAGAGAGATAGGAAGTAATTTTTAAGGTATGGATAGTGTTGAGAAGATACTGGAGAGAGTGGAAGTGCTATTATATTTTACTACAAAGTAGGGAGCTTAAAGGAGGGAGCTCTGGGTAAATCTTGATGTAGATGGAAAAGATCTTTATTAAGGGAGGCTGACCTTCTTTGTACCTAGCCAGGAGCTGTGAGTGACATCTTAATGTACTAGCCTTCATGAGGTACTGTGTGCTAGCAATATAGAAATAACATCAAAGAAATGTTTTTCCACATACGTAGGATGTTTTATCCCCAAACACCTCCTGTTAAGCCTACAGTGATGTGGAACTATGGCAGTTTTGGCAAGCGAGTGACAGAAACCGTAGGTACCACACAAACCACAGCTGAGATGTGTGGCTGGAGCACAAGCAGCTGGAAATACTTCTCCCAAATGCATCATGGACTAATTAGCTTTTCTGTCCCATCTCCCCCACCTCCCGGCAGCACTTGTATGTTCAGAGTTTTGAAAAAGAATAAACAGTGTGAAAGTTCTCCTCTGAATCCAGAAAATGCAATTTATCTTCCCCATCATCAGCTAAGAAAGGCTTAATATTTGAGGATGTTTGAGACGTCCCTGTGCTGTCTGCCAACCCAACTCTTGCATTGTAGACCTTGAAAAATCCCCTGTGTTCCTGGATTTCTTCTGTTTTTTCCTCTTTGTAACTCCTCACTATTTAGAAAATGACCACAAACGTTTGCTCTGTCACGTATTATATAAAAGTCCTTCAGGCTCAGTGGGTAGAATGAAAGATGTGAAATCTAGGGAGGGGATAAGTAAAGGACAGATGTTTGCACCAACTCAAATGTACAGTGCTTAGTATTTTAATTTCTTGGTCTCGGTGGGATAAACAAGATGGTAATATCTCCCTTTTATAGATGGGGAAAATACATGAGGTAAATAAGAGGATATGCTTCAGATGTCTGTATATAAATACCTTAAAGACAAAAGATGTAATTTAGGCCAACTACCAGGAAAAGTTTTGAATGTTCAGGGTTTTTTGGGGATGAGGACATTCATAACTACATCAGACAACATTAAGGATTTATAGTATAAATATGCTCCAGGCACAAATCAATTAATAACTGACAAGGGACCTAGCAAAGCACTTTCTCTGTGAAGGGATTATTCTGAAATTGTGCATCACTACACTTCAGGCACCTTTCTTTTGTACCTTATGGTATCAGTCACTGTCAGAAAATGGGAAACTCATCATATCTGGTCTATTGATTGCTCACAGCCACAAGTACTTAGTGCAAAACCAACCTCCTCTTCTCCAGTACGTTGTGGCACCTTCTGAAAACCTTCAGTTTTCCTGATGGACTAGTTTATGTAATGAAGGCATATGCTGGATGTCATGCTCTGTGCTGATCCCCATGTGGCTTTAGGAGAGGTGAATATTGCTGGGTCCAGGTGACTTATGGCAGTTGTTAGCTTGGAGCTCGCAAACAAAATCTGTGGTGTGAGGTTAACGTTCATCATCAGTTCTCTAAAATGTTGCTTCATACCCCAAATTAACCCTGTCTCCAAGGCAAATGACTTTACATTGTGTGTAGAATATTTCAGCTGCTGGTAATGCTTTGTGCTTGCATGAAGCTTTTCCATTCATAGATTTCCAAAACTGTGATAACATAATGAGTCTAGATAGTCCCCTTGGGAGCTTTTGTTGAGAGAAATGCAGCTTTTTTCCCCCACAATCTAGAAATCTAGTAGAAATTAATAAAGAAGCCAGTTGTCTACCAGTAGAAGATCCCTGAATTTACTGTTTTGGTTTCAAGGAAATACGATTCTTGCACAAGATTGATCAAGCAGTATTTTAAGCTGTTTATCAGTATCTGATGTAGGACTTCCTTGTAATTCCTGGGGAGAGTATGAGCTTTGTGGCTGTTTGTCTGCTGACGTAACTGCCTGTCATACTCTGTGCAGTGTGTTTTTCAGTCCAGGCTGTGGCCAGAACAGCCTTCAGTTCCTGAGCAGAAATGCACCTGAAGGTGTGCATTTTGTTGAAGGATGATTTTTTGTGGTAGCCTCTCTCTAGGAGATAGAGGAGGATTTCTGATGCTATTGATGATCCCAGCACTCTTTGAGGCCCATCATTGGATGCTTTCATTTCTTACATAAAAAGACTTGGGCAAGGTTGTTTGAAAATGTTCAGCTTTGTGGTTTGTATTCAGAGGGAAGAAGCTCTTTAGTTCCATCCCTGGCTGCCAGTGCAATGTATATTATTGATTCCTCTAAGTCTGTAGGATTGTCTCCACAAGGTCTTCATTTGAGTTTTCTTGAGGACAGTTTTCAAGTAGTTGTCCTTGTCCTAGATGAGGTTTAACAGAAGCAGTCTGGGAAACTTGCCTACACCAGCAGAAAGAAGTCAGCATTTGGATACAGCTCTCTGAAGGTGTACCCATAGTCTCTGGATAACTTTCAGAAGTTGTGTTTTCTCAGTCCTTTTTCTCTTGTCTGACAACTTAATTCTTTGATTTCTAAGATAAGCTGACTTTTATTTGCAGAAAAAGGTAAGAGGGGAATTCTTTAGGAGTCTAGAGAGCTTTGGTGAAGAACTGTCAGGCTGTCAAATGGAAATTGTTACTGAAGACTGTCCCTCTGATCAAAGCAAGCTTTATGCTTATGGGAAACTTTTACTTCGTTGTTTCTATGTGTGTCCATCATGTCCCTGTAAAAAGGATTTTTATGTTTGTCTAGTTCCTCAGTGACACACTCTTCAATTTTATTACATTTTCTGGTGCTTTCCGAGTCTGTGAAGACACTGACTTCAGCTTTACAATTATTTTCCTAGACTGTGCCTTGAGACTGCTGCATAGAAAACATTAAGCTAATCTCCTTGTCTAGAACATCACCATGCTGCTGGTTTGTCTGCAAAACGTTCTCGTGGCTTTATGCAGACCACTGTTGATGGCATGGCTGTTGGCATGGGCTCAGCTTTGAGCAGCAAGTTGGACTAGAGGCCCTAGAAGTTCACCCTAAATTAATTTAGCTTTTGGAATAAAGAGAAAACTTGAACCTCAGGATGTCTCTTTTACTTTTTAAATGATGTGAAGGTTTGAATTGTAAAAGGAATTCTTGGCCAGTTAGTAAAGCTCATGCTAAGCTTACCTCTGCCATGCTCTTGGGGACTATCAGCAAGTTCGCAGCTGAAGCTGAATGAAAAAAAGGAGCAGTGCTATTCTGGGGATGTTACTCCATACGTACCATTGAAAGGATCCTGTAATCCATTTACTCCAGAAATGTGGACAGAAGTTATTGGATGGCTTTACTGAAGTAGGGCCACGTAAGGAGACAAATGTCATGTGCTTCTGAACATGCTATGAAAGTCTGCTTCTTGTATATGTTTTCCCTTAAACACATCTCTGTTATGTTCCTTAATATCTCCTGGCAATGGTGTTTTTCATTACAGGCTGCTTGGTTGGTCTAGTTGGCTTCTCCCCTTTTTATACCCTTGATGTTCTTTGCTACCTGTCCCCTGAGATTCACACGTGTGCCTGGAGGATAAATGCATAGGGCTTGTGTACCTAGAGCTGCTCACCTTTAGAAAGTGCAAATGTTCAGGTTGCCTGTGGCTGATGTTTAGTCAGAAGTGATGACATACCATAATTTTAAAAAAATCTATTAGGTGGGTAGTTCTGCATTGGTTTTGAGTTGAGCTCTTGGCCTTTTGAACTTAAAGAAGATCTCATGTATCACTCAGGCTTCAAAACAGAGGACTGTCAACAAAAAAGTCTTTGTTCAAACTGAATTGGTTAAACTTTTGGAGAAATATGATGGAGAGGGTGCTTTACTGAGCCTGTTATTGTCCAGTTGGTGAACGTTATCTTGAAGAATGAACGCAGACTGATAGGTCAGATATTCCTCTGCACAAAAGGAAAAAAGGGGTTGTGGGAGGAACAATGCAGGAATTTGTGTGAAAGTGAGTGGGAATGAAAAGTTTGCCTTTACAAACAGTAGATTGTCATCTCTCTTTTGCAAAGCTGTGTACGTAGTCACTTGCCCACAGTCGCTTTCAGTGGATGTTTTCCTCTTGGAAGAGGATTTTGGGGTAGCCGCTCAGTGAAAGGAAAACTTCATTGTTTGTTAATAAGCACTAAAGTTTTACAGGTATATTACTTGACTCCCAGGCAAAATAATCCTTATTTTCTTTTTATTCTAACTTTGTTCTTTTTTCTTTTCTTTTTAAAGAAACGATTGAAAGCAGCAGAAGCAGAAAGTAAGCTAAAACAAGTGTATATACCCAACTAGTAAGTATCTTTTTGTATTGTTCTGTTTTCTGCTTCATTGTAGAGTGTGTGGTATAGCAGTTTCCATGGCCTGCCGTTACTGTGTATTTGCTTTAATTGCTTAACAAGAGACATAATTGAACAAACATGTCAGAGAACTATTAAATTAGGTTACCAATATAACAAACCTTCTGCTGATACCTGAATAGGCTTGAATTCCTTTGGATTTTAGCTGAGTTAATGCTAACCACCCTGATGCTAATACACAACTAGGAGCCCTATGGAAGAAAACACAATAGCTCTGGTATTTTGAAGCTGGCTAGAACAAAGCAGCACTCCTTCCAGTATACTTACACTGCTGGTTAACAGTGTGTAAAAGACAAAAGCTGTTCCCTTAAACTAACCATGCTGACCTTCCACTTCTGGAACACAAGGTATTTCCTCCATGGGCAGCTGAGGGCTTTCCCTTTGTGGCTTTCCTGGTTAGGGTGCTGTGCTGTCATGTTGCTCATTTCCTTCATCTTGTGTAATGTTCCTATCCAGAAGCAACTGTTACTTACCTTCTAATTTTTATTTTTATATAGACTGGGAGTTGGGGACTTGGTAGCAGGTCAGCACGGTCATGAACAAAAGGGTAGCTAATTAACTGCTCAATAAGATATGTAGTTTTATTAATTTTTGTCATCAATGGATCACCAATGTATGGTTGTTTTCTAATGTCATTTTTATATATATATATATAATTATATATAGAACTATATTAAAAATCATATATAGTGATATATGTAATATGTATAAAATAAAAAATATAAACTCTTAGTTAAATGTGTTTCTTTTCTTGCATTTCCTCTACATTACCCAGTCAACAGTTGATATAGTGTGGAACTTTAAATCTCCCCTGTCTTTTCTCTTTTCAGCTTTCACTCCCAGATACATCCCCATGTGTATTATCCCAAATAACTGCTTTACTCTTTTATGCTATCTCCTTTTAAATGTTTATGAACTTCTACCATGTGTTCTCTTACTTAAGGCAAAACTAAATTTTCCATATTTAGCTTGCAAGACAGTCCCTTATTTCTTCTGAAAATAGAGGATCTCTGATTTCTTTTTCTCTTTGAAATACATCGATATCTCTCAGGTGAAATTACTAAAAATTGGGTGTAATATTCAGAGCGGAACAAAATAAGATTTCTTGTCATGCAATTTTTCAACAGTATTGCTTTTTGTGGATGGTGTTACTCTGCAGGGGGACACTGGGCATCAAATTAAACATGAATTCACAATGTGATAAGCTTGCAAAGCAAAAGCCAATGTAATTTAGACTGCAGATGCAAAAGGATATTGCAGATGAGAGAGCCTGGTAGTCTTGCTGTTGCTCTTGGATTATAATGTATGTAGGAAGGGCTTTGTATTTGAAAGGTTATGGTGCTCATTTGATAATGGCTGGCTGGAGTGGTATCTTATCCCTCAACACTGTATCTCAGCAAGATAATTCTTATTGCTATCTAGAGAATATAATAAAATCAGCAACTTACCTCTCTACTTCAGGGAAAGATTTCTGTCTCTACCCATGTGGTTGCTATTTTTGTCTCTGGCTTTTATTTCCAGTCACGGTTGATTTTGTAAGTGTTATACCTTAACATACATATTGTTTAACTGATAAAAATGGCTGTCAAATTTTCTTCCTCCTTCAATATCCTTTTATGTGTATCAGGAAAAGTCGAAATTGCATACATGACATATTTAATCCCACATGAATGCTTCTGCTGCTTTTTTGCTATTAATAGCAAAATGCGGCAACAAATAAATATTTCTAAGATTTTTGTATTATTTCTACTCAAGTTTCAGTACAAGGTCTGGCACACAGGGAATGTATTGCATCTACATTATCGTGTGACCTAGAGGAAGATTATATTCTTGGCTTGTAATAGCAATACATGGTGTAGGGATCTAAATATCAAAGTTATTGATTTGTCCTTATCGTGTTACTGAGTCCATTCCTGTTTCAAGACTTGAACCATAATGATCCACTCGTCACCTCGAAAATAAATTACTTGATGTAGGCTGTCACAAGACCTATGCAGAAGCATATCAGCTGATTGAGTGAAACCTATTCTAACAATAACTGGTGAAAAATTGTTTGTGAAGAGAGACCCCAGAGGATATCAGACTCAAACAATTCTTCTTTTTTTTTTCCCCCTCTGTCTTCCATTGATAGGACTCTCATTTGTTCCTGTGAAGTTAATAGGAAAATCTAAGGAGAGGGGAGGAAAATAATAAGGAAAAAGAACAGAAGCAGTCTTCAAAGGTTGTTTCTCATGTCACATACATATTATACAGTGAAAAATAACAGCTCTACATGAAGCTGTTGATATTTTTTAACTTGACACTGCGCCCCAAATTTATAACGTGTGTAACTGAAGCATGGAGGGTCATACAGGTAATTGATGTGAGGTTCTCAAGTCTTAAACCAGCATCCTAGATGTTGGAAAAATATTTCTGTCCTAGATATTGAACAAACATTTCTGTGCTTATTCCAAGAACAACCCTGCTTTTGGGACAGACATCTGTAGTTGATGTGACTGAACCCGGTGTTTGCATGAATAGCTTTGTAATGCATCCCTTAGGTCGAAAACCACTAATGTGCTTTCCTGGTGAAAGGAAAAAGTATAAAATAAGATTAATTCTGCATTCAGGAAGTACTGAGGGAAAAAAAAATGTTCTAGTTGTTTTCTGTAGCAATTTCTCTGTCAGTGGGAGTGGTGTTAAATGAAGCAGCAGCGGAAACCTGAATGCACAAAGAGATTCCATGTTCTTACATGCTCCATCCTGCCATCTGCCAGTGTGAGTGTGAGGCTTGGAGACCTTTCTTCTTGCAGATGTAGTCTTAGTCTCTTTCTTATTCTAGTGTGCACCCGAACTTACTCTTCAGGCTGTTGTGGAAGTCATACTCTGGTTTTACTGATCTCCTGGGCATCATATGTACTAGTTACTTGCTTCTTTTTGATGATGGTCCGGTTGTGTAGGTGGTGCTTTTTGGGATTAGGACATCTGCAAATCATGAAGGCTGAGACATACAATTCTGTGTGACATTTCTCTCTTTTACTTTGATATAAGTGACATCAGAAGGGGTAAGAGCAGAAAGGGAAGAATGAAGTGCTCTGTAGAATCCCCAGTCTCCAAAATGTGTTGATGTAAAATGTAAATTTTAAATTTACATCTGTAAATGTGAATTAATACATTCTGCGTACAGTATTTTATCTGAGAATTTCAAAGCACTTTGACAAGCTGCAAACGCTGCCTTGCAAACCCTTGTAAAGCAGGGAAATATTCTCCCCTCCCTGCCTCTCTTTTTTTAAGCAAATAGGGAAACTGGAGGAATAGGGCAAAGCTTTGGATGACTACATGGGGTGACTTCTTACCAAGCTGAAGATAATTCCCTTGTCTTTCTCAGTTGTCCTCTGCCTGAGCAGCAAGGCTTTTTTCCTTCCCTTTTTAATTGTGCAGAGGTCCATTGCAGCGTGGAAAACTTGAAGGTGCAATACTGTTCTCTCTTTTGTAGCTGTGCTAGTTAAAATGATGATCTTCAACATTTGTTGGAGACAGCTTCTAATTTTCAGAAAGCATTGTTTAGTAGTCATTAGACCTCTTCTTAGAAGTGGATATTTACAGTAACCTGGAGAGTTGTGTTGAGAGCTCACCTCTCCATTGTCTGGGTAAGGAATCCAGATGCTTGCATTAGGTGCCCAGAGGAAGATAGTGTAAATATTCCTTACAAAGGATTAAAAATTGTTCTTATTTCTGAGGCTTTATTCCCTAATTGTTCTGTTGCATCTAGCAACACTGTGGTTTCCTGAATAACAGGAAATAATCACTGATGGTGTTAAGTTTATGGTTATTTTTAACAACTAAAATTTTATGACTGTGCTGTGGCTGAAATGCTAGCCAGTCAAATAGTGAAGGGATTTCAGTGTTCTACATGGCTCAGGATTATCTTCAGGTTGGGTTTTTTGGGCAGGGGCTTCAGTCCATGATGGCTGGCATCCATTGCCTTCTTTCTGCATGTGCTTTATCACCTTAGTCCCTTTAGTTGAGACTGATTTCCTGCAGAATACAGCCTAGAAAACTTCTTGATCCCTGTTCTAGCATAACTGACTACTCCATCACAGTTGAAACCCGTTTAAGACTTCCATTCTTCATGCAAGAACTGGAAATGATAGTTTACCACATCATTAGTATTCTCAGTACCTCATTTGCATCTTTCACTTCAGTTTCATTAATTGCCTAATGATTCATCCAGTTATTCATCTCATTCTCTTGTTAATAGCTGTAGCAGGCTTTGGTGATATCAAACAAGTTTAATTAACATATCTTCAACAATTAAGAGCTATTTGCTTCTGTATGATGATGACATTAGGTGCCTAGCTTTTATTGTTGCTGCCACTTTGAAACTTGACCTTAGCTTTGGATCTGTAAGTGTTCTGGTGCTTGTGCAGCTGCATTAATTGTATTGTTCCAAAATCCTGAAGTGAAGTTACTGTCACCACTACAATGTGACAATTTAGTGATCAGGTCTTACTTGTGCATCCCTTTCACTTGTGTTTGAAATACAAGTTTGGTAACGGTTGTAGAGAGAGCAGCAGAGTCAGGCCATCACCCTCCTGTCTTTCCACACAGGATGTTAGTACTTTGGATGCTCCTGCTGATGAGTGCAGTCTTGTGCACCACTTACTGTTTACAGCCAGACACACCAGGGTTTCCCGGCATGCTGCTCAAAAAACTCCAAACCTTTTTGTGTGCTTTACTGATAGCCTTAAGACACCTTTACTGCATTTTTCAGAGGATAAATAAATGTATAGGAGGGAAGCAACATGTCTGATGTTGAACCATAAGACCTGGACTAGAACCTTAGTTTCCTTTACTTCAGTCTTTTGCTCTGTCTGTGGAGCAACACTGCCCGTAACAGTGCATCTGTGAGGAGTGTTTGTTTTGCAGCATCTCAGCAGTGTTTGCACATGGACTTAGCTAGTGAATCATTGGCAAAAGTTCTTTTGCAGCAGGTTACTATAGTGACATCCCAGAGAAAACTCTGGGTAGCATGAATGTACCCTCCTTCAACTTTCCCTTTGTTAAATGTGTCTGCAGATCTCCTGCCATCTGTGGTGTCAGAACTTCGTGCCGTTCTGATAAGCACGCTGAAACACTTCAATCCTTGTAAGAGCCAGGCAAATTAATATGCAAAAGGAGAAGGAAACCTAATCAGGCTTGTTAATCTAAATGCCTTTATTTTTTTCTCTTCTCTTCTCTTCTCTTCTCTTCTCTTCTCTTCTCTTCTCTTCTCTTCTCTTCTCTTCTCGGCTTTATATGAGCTGCTCAGTGTACTGGAGGAACAAGCTATTTACAGTGTTTTGGTGCCATGTAGCCTCCTAAGCTTTCTTTTCTGCAGAAAGGCACTGGACTTAACAGTCAGGAGCACCATCAGAATGTTTCTCTGACACTGGACGAATACTTTCTTACCTCCTTATGCAACATATGTATGGTCCTTGGAGTTCACTCACAGCCAAATGTATTTTGTCTCTATAGAAATGGAGCTTTACTGAGGTCTGTGTCTCAATGCCTGGTCAGACATTTTCAGATGAGGTAAAGGATGACCTTCTGGCTTCCAGGGCAGTGTAAGCTTTCCAGTAGCATTTGGGTTTGTTCTGGAGCTGCAAGGGACAGTTGTCTTCAGAAGTCAGTCACTTGGAACTCCTTTGCTTTCAGGGGTCATTGCTGAGAATGTGAAACCCAGTATTGGTGCCCCATTAGACAGAAATTAATTTGGCCATATTCCCACAATGCTGTTTTTGCAGCGCTAGCCAGGGTGAAAGGTAGTAAGTATTCTGGGTCACTGAAATCACTGTGACTCTTAGTGTGCAACTGATGTGTAAGAAAATGTGTTTTCAGAAAGCCATTTTAAGATATTTCTGCATTAATAAGTGGATTCCAAATCATGGGTTTATTAGTTGGAAATAAAAGGAACACCCACTCCCTTCAGTCTTCAGGTAAGAGATGATGGGGGGAAAAGTAATGAGCACTACAGTTTGGGCTTGTGTTCAGACACTGGCACCAAAGGCTGCCTGCCTTTTCTTGCTGCCACAAGCTGAGCACTTGACAGCACCTGGGAGTCCTTGCATGTTTTATAAGCTCTGTGTATATTCTTCTCTGAAACTTTGTATGTGACTTGTCCCACCTTCCCCTGTTCCCCAGAAGTCCTGTCCCTGCAATATCGATTCTCTGTCCTGTCCTTGTTCCCTCCTATGCGAAGGATTTTTTGAACGCCTCCTTTTCCCCCTCTGACACCTCTTCCTCTGCAGGGGTTTTGTACTATTCCATACTGCTCTCTACGCCAAGGTTTTGTTTACCCTTCCTTCCATTCTCAGCTCCTGCCAGTAGCTTCCCCCCTCCCCAGTCAACATTTTTAAGAAAGTGTAGGGATGAGCTGAGGTGATTCAGATTTTTTATATTCGAATACATTAGTGACAGCCATCAGGGCATTTCTTGCTCTGCAGATGTTAAACTCTCAGACTTTTTCTATTAAGTAGAAACCTAAATGCTTTTTAATAGAAGGTCATATTCGTTAACATCTCTGTATATGTCATGTCCAAAGATTTTGTTCAGTGTGTTGGGTGTGCTTGTGCAAATTGTGGCTACATGATGCAAACCTTTGCAGGAAGATAATGTGGAAATATTTGTGACTGCAGTCTAGGGTCCTTATCTTTCCCTGAATAAGGCAGGAGTTGACCTTTCTCCATCCACCTCTACTGTTCCTTCCCCCAGACTTCTTTTTGGAGATTTAAGTAAAATATCACTCCTTTTGAAGACTGAGGGAGATCTTTAGATAAGATCTTTTTGTCACCTATGACATGAATGTCAGGGATGGGATAGTGAGTAAGATACCTACCTGGCTTTACTGATTTATTGTTTTTAAATGATTTTGGACTCCTGAAAATTGTGTCTAATTAATATTATAGTTATTTTTATTACCGGCATTATTTAAATACTGTTGGAGACAGTGTGTTCACGGAAGTCAGATTGCTGGTAAGTACAGCTTGTTCTGGAAGCCACACGATGAACAAAATTTAAATCTTGAAACATTTTGGGCCATATATTTTTAAGTCACATAGGAAATCACATGCTTCAATTAATGTTTGTCCTTTTTGCTTTGTGTTTTAAGTAACAAGCCAAACCCCAACCAGATCAATGTAAATAATGTCAAACCAGGAGTGGTAAATGGTACTGGAGTACAGGCGCAGAACACGGGAGCAGGACGGGCCTGTGAAAGCTGTTACAGTAAGTGACATGCCAGTATGGCACTTGTGCATAGAGCGTGGGTGCTGTGTTGTGGTTGGGGGGTGGAGAGAAGGCTTTGGAAGGGTGTGGGGTCAGAATTTGACATAGCAGCATTTAAGCAAAGTTGGGCGCATTTTTTGGAGTTACTGATGTTACACTGGTAAATATGATTATGAAATACTTAAAAGGAAGTTAGTAAATGTCTGCAATATCTACCTGTAATTGCAGGTAGTGATTGAGCAAAGACTTTAATCACTGAGGTGTGAAATTGGCAAGTTTTTCATAGCTTTTCAGTAGATTTCAAAATATGTGGTATCTTTGTATTTGATCTGCTGCCTGGTATTAATATACTGAGTTCTAATACTTGTCTTCCTTTGTGGGGAGCCTTTAGAGATGCATATACATAGGACTGTGCAAGAAGTCAAATCACAGATGTATCTCATGTTCTTTAGTTGTAAAATTAATGTATGGGGAGTTCCTGAAGACAATCTCCCTCCTTCTCCCAAGCTCTGCAGAAATGTTGTGTGTCAGTCTTGCAAAATGAGAGCTTTCAGTTTCATTGGCAGTAATTTTTCCCATCCCACTAGTTGGGGTTTTTTTCTGTTCCTGTTTTAAAAGAGTTTTATATGTTTAATTAATTTTACTGAAATTACAAGTACATTTAGCAGTGGGGATGACAGTGAAGCCGTCATCAGGTTTCTATGGTCTGTTTGAGCTTTGCATTGTCTTTGTGTGGGTTTTCTTTTGTGATGGTTCTAAGAGAATAAGCTCTGAAAAGTGATCCTGTTTAAGGATAGATATAACTTCCACCTTTGTTATCTCTAGCCACACAGTCTTACCAGTGGTATTCTTGGGGTCCCCCTAACATGCAGTGTCGCCTCTGTGCATCCTGTTGGACCTACTGGAAGAAATACGGTGGCTTGAAAATGCCAACACGGTTAGATGGGGAGAGACCAGGACCAAACCGCAATAATTTGGTAGGTATCTGCAAAGCAGACTGCCTGGTGCTCTTGCCTGGAAAGCTAGGTGCCATGATATCTTAACTAATTGTTCACTGTTCTTAAATATTTAACAACAGAAAGAATGCCTTCAGCCTCCATTGTTTGTCCTTGGGTTTGGTATTTCATGTCTTGCAAAAGTTGGCACGTTAACTTCAGCTATAAGTAATTTGTTGATGAATACTGCACTGAGAAAAACATATTTTTTCTAGCCATCAAATGCATGGGATAACTTAATGAAGATGGAAAAAACTGAAATACCAGCCAGTGTTTCTGGTATTCATTTTCCATGATTTTTTGCTTTAGGGTGAAGAGGACTTTTTTTTTTTTTTTTTTCTCATAAAGGAATTAATTATTTCCTGAAACCTGTTCCATTTCCCAAGGCACATTCAGCATTAGATACCCCAAATAGCTAGTGGCTTTTTAGAGATCCCTTATCTTGTTTTTCTACTTCATGCTGTTTTTTTTTTAATTAATCCTCCTTCCTTTTGGAGAGGTTTGAGTAAGCATTGTATGAGTTTCTTCTGTTTAGTTTTTCCTCTTTTATTTAAAAACTAAACTTCTCAGAATTTTTCTGAATTTGGTGGAAGTTTGGTCTGAAAACATCATACATTGAGCTGATTGGAAAAAGTAGCTGCATCACATGGACAGAAGGATAGTGCACACTGAACTTTGGTCTTAGATTAATTTCTGTCCTCTGTCCTAGTCTTTGCTATCATTCCCATTCTGTTCTGTTTCTTTTGTTTAACCTCTGTCCTTTCCAGGCTTCTGTTTGCCCTCTGAAGCTGCCTAATTGCCGAGATAACTGCCTAGTTTTATCGACCTTATACCTCTTGTTTGTTAATTAAAAAGTGTGTAAATAATCAGAGTGGGGAAAGCCTTGTTCTGCCCAAACTGAAATTTCCTCCTATTTTCCAACTGTGAGCAGATTTGAGATAACAAGATACTACTTTCATTATTCGTGCTTTTCATTAAGAAAATACTGCTTTTGCTCTCTGTAGTAGATCAGTGTTTTTCAGTATTATTCTTTATCACATGTGGTGAGTATTTGACAACTCTGTAAATGCATTCATTGAGTTCAGAGTAAGAATTAAAACAGAAATTCTTGCAGCTTTGAGACAAAGACATTCTTGCATTGTTTGCTTTGGGAAGTGAGTTTGTGATGTATGTTTTAGCCATACAGCTGCTTTCTGATTTCCCTCTCCCTCTCACAAATGCTTTGTTATGAGGCGTTTGTATTTTATATCCAGAGCAACTCTAAGCACCCAAAGTTTGAGAGTCTTTTTGTTGGCTCTGTAAGCACTACATCATGTGATAGCATCAGGTAACTTCTTAGGTCTGGCTTTTGGATTTTTACTTTAAAACTTGTTGGGACAGCACAAAAATAAATATTTCCCTGTGAAAAGAACATGTTTACCTTCATTTTATCCTTTGAGATATTTTGGAAGAAAATCCCAAATGTTGATGGGTACGATTTGGGAAATGGGGAATAGCTGGGCTGAAAATGTTTTCATCTGTAATACTGTTTCTGTTCTTATGTCTGTGAATCAGTAGTTTTAAGTGACTTTATATTATATTCTTGTTCTTCTTTAAAACCATACTTTCTAATAATTATTTTTTAGAAACCATATTTATCTTTCTTTCTTTTCTAGAGTCCTCATGGTGTGCCAGTACGAAACAGTGGGAGTCCCAAGTTTGCTATGAAGACACGACAAGCTTTCTATCTCCATACAACAAAACTGACAAGAATTGCCAGACGTTTATGTCGAGATATCTTGCGCCCTTGGCATGCTGCAAGACACCCCTATCTGCCTATTAACAGCGCAGCAATCAAAGCAGAATGTGAGTGGCCATGCAGCTGGGACCTTCTTGCAAAGGAGCCCTTTGAGATTCCTTTCCTGTAAAGTTTGAGTTGCAACTTCTTGAGATGATCTCTACTGGTTTCACAAAATCTGGCTATACTTGCAGAGTGTTCTAATTGATTGCAGGCTAGACAAATAAATTCATGAGTTGTTGTTTGTTTTAAAATATTTGTGTTTGCTGTTACATTTAGCATTCTCCTGCATGTGTGTCCTGTTGCCAGGATGTGCTTGCAACCTGTTAGATTAGTTTTGATTGAAAAGCTCTTTCTTAAGTTATTAATTTAGTTTTACTATAATATCTAAATGTCTTTATCCTCTAATTATTTATCTTTGTTTTGCAGGCACAGCACGTTTACCTGAGGCATCAGAAAACCCATTGCTACTAAAGCAAGTGGTTCGAAAGCCTTTAGAAGCAGTACTCCGGTATTTAGGTATTAAAAAAAAAAAAAAGCAAGCCAAACACCACCAAACACAAAAGCCCTCAACCAAACAAAAAGTTCTGCTAGCTAATTCTGATAACCATTTATTTTCCATTTGGTTCTGGATTCAAAAACAAAACATGAAAACCTTCCCATGAACTTGTCCTTTTTCCTTTTCCTACTTAATTTGACAGACTAGTGGCTCAGCGGTCCACTCTGGGCTCACTGAGCTGTATCAGAAACCTTTTCTAGTGAAGGGAGGGATGTGTCTGCCGTGGCCTCTGATGTATGTGGGGACAGGTTACCATCTGCTAATGGAGGCATGAATATAATGTTTTGGGAACAATTGGTTAGTCCACTGTTCCAATTTTTGGTCTGTCTGGAGGCAGTTCCTACAGTTGGGTCCTCCAAGAGGCCCCTCAGGTTTAGGACAGCGTTTCATCCACAGCTTGTGAATCAGTTACTGGGTGTTCTGTGCTTGAGCTGGACAAGGGAACTATATTTCTATTTACTTTCTTCTTGGTTTTTTTGGGGTTGTGTGGGTTTTTTTGTTGGGTTTGTTTCTTGGTTGGTTTTTTGTGGTTTTTTACTGAGTAGCTCTGTCCAGGACCTTGGTGTAAGTTGTAGATGCTGGAAGAGGCACGCCAGCTTTGACTATAGATGAATGCAAAATAATTTTCACTAGCATTGCTGGTTGCTGGAGATAGCCTGAAGGCATGTCTCAGGCTGTTACAGCGATCTGAGTGTGTCTAACCACAGAAAGCCAGCTTGGACAGTGGTACTTTGAAGGCTTCCAGATTAACAAGGAGTTTGATTGTCTTTTTACTCTGATAAGAAACACTGGAGTTGATTTTATGTTTCTTTGAACATTATTGTTGATGAAATATTGTAAGGCTCAGAGTTTATTAAATATTTACTGCTTCTCTGTTGAATGTTGTACTTCTGCTGTGTACTAATGAGATAGAGTAACCATTGCATATGTGCAGTGCAACCAAATAGAGGCAATAAAGGGAGAAGTTTTGCTGTTGGATGAAATCCTGCTTTTAATAGTTGTACAGAATGTAGCAGTAGATTTTGAGATTTCATTAGCACTGTGTCAGGGTCTCCATTTGACTGTTGAGCTGGGAGAAGGGAGTGAAAGAAACAGAGGGAGGCTGATGAACTGGCGAGAATGTATTTTGGAAGTGTGGTGCTCAGTGTGCTGTAAGTTGTGTGTCACTCAGCTGTTGGGGCTATCGAGAGAAACTCAGTTGAAGGTCGGTACTTTCCCAAAATCTTTTCAGTTGAACAGCATGTGCTTGATCTCTGCCTTGGGCAAAAGTTTGAATTCAGACTCTTGTGTGTTCTTTATGGTGATGCTTTGAATCCTCACTTGTTTGACCGGTTTAGAAATTGTGTTTTTTACAAACTGTAAAACTTGAAAAACTGGCAAAGTTGTAATTTCCCCAAAGTTTAAAGGTGTTGTATGACTGCCCAAAGATGGCTTTAATATAGAGCACCCCTGAAATGATCCCAGATTGTCAGAGAATAGTGTTTTGGAAATAGATACAAAATGCTTTTGTTATTTCAGGATAATGTTATGACATTGATTTTAACATCTTCAGTACAGGTAATTTCATGAATGTATTTAAAATGCTTTATATAAATAACAATCTCCAGTAAAAATTGTTGACTGAGATTGTATATAAGGGGAGGGAGGGGGATACTTGGTCACCTTGGAAGTTTGCAGGGGTTTTTTTTTTCAGATTTATAATTCCATTACTTTCACTAATTAATTTGGCCATATTCCCACCTTGCTGTTTTGCAACAGAGTCTCATCCGTGTCCTCCAAAACCAGATCCTGCAAAGAGTTTGTCCAGTTCTCTCAACAATCTGACTCCTGCTAAGTTTACGCCTGTCATTAATAATGGGTCCCCAACTATCCTGGGAAAAAGAAGTTATGAACAACACAATGGAATGGATGGTAAATATTTTTCTGAAAAATGTATATTGTCTATATAGGCTTTTTCTTCTGTCCTCTTGGTATGCAACGAGATTATTTAAAACTATAGTCCTTTATATAAATCCCAGGTTTCTTATTCTTGAGGGAGCTTAATTTTTTTCTTTTGTAAAAGTCACTTGTCCCATTTCTCCTTCTGGGTGAGACACATGATGTGTACTGCCTGGGTGGTGCTTCTGTGCTAGTGGAACTCTGCCTAGCTTGACCAACCTTGCAGATGGGATAGCGAAGAAGAAACTCCCTTCAATTTTCAAATTAGTAGCTTTTCCCAGTGATGTTTCCTTTTTCTTTTGAGGTTTACAGCTTTATAAGCTGTAAGTAGTAGCTGTGCCGTTTCCAGGTGGCTTTGTAACATGTGGATCACCTGGCTTCCAGCAAAGCTACCAGAGGCTACATGCCATTGGGAAAGGCAGGCTGCTGCTTAGCTGAGGGAGGCAGATGTGCCAGATCTGGCGTGGCATAAATTCGCTCCTGCCTTGTGCAGAACCAGAATGTTTGCTTTTGTTGGCCCTGTCACTGAGCACCTCTCTGCAGTGGAGTTTGGGCTTCATCTCCTCAAGAATAAAAGGCAAGGAGAAGGTGTTTGAAGTGGGAGATAGAAGCAGGATGTTCCTGGCACGGACTCCAGGGCTCTGTTCTGAAGAGTTGCTCTTGCCTAGGAGTGCTGGGGAAAAGGAAGTGCAGTGTTTTTCTCAGATGAGGATAAAAGGAACTATTCAAGTGGGCTAACGGGAGTGAGAGAACGTGGATGATAGCTCTCCTTAGCAGAGGAAAGGAACAGTTGGTTTAATGATGACTCTGAGCAGGGAGGGAGATAGAGAGAATCTTTCTCATTTTTTACCTTTAGTTTTAAATTTATATGTAGCTTATCTAAAATATATAATTACAAACATTTGATATCTTATTGTTTGTGTTTTAACATTAAGAACTTTTTAAACTGCTGCTGCTCCGGTTGCTGATGTGATGTTTTTCTCTTTTCTGTTCACTTGTGCTCTATCAGGCAACATGAAGAAGCGCCTGTTGATGCCTAGCAGGGGTAAGACCTTGAAGCTGCGCTCAGCTTATGCTAGGAGAGTGATTTTTAGTTTCATCTGCTGGCTTGTCTGTGCTTTGTGGCTAATGAGTCTGTGTGCACCTTCTTTGTTGATGTCTAATTGTTCCTTGGGTAACCATTTCCACCCATGGTTATGCTGCTCACTTTCCAGGCTTTTCACATGCAGATGACAAGTCGTACAACCATACTGAAGACATGAAGTGCTGTATTCAGAATTGATTACTAATTCCTCAAGTTGACAGAGCAGTTTTCTAGCAGTTTTGTGAAGCTGCAGAAAGCTCTGATGGTTGGTTTGAAACTAGGTGTCGTTTCACTGTTCGATTTTTAAGAAATCCAGGTTTCATGTGTCCTGTGTTCTGAACTACTTTAAATTCACATTACCAAAAGAAATAGAAGACAGTATTCACATCAAGTCCAAGGTTCAAGCCCCTATATTTTCCACTGCGAGTGGACAGTCTCACTGGTGAGGAACTGTCTGTTCTCTACTTGCAGTAGAAATGATTTTCAGACTTTCCACAGGTTAAAAATTAATCTGTTCTGACTACTGAATGGGACTCAGAAGCTTTAGTTTGTGATAATGCAGGAAATGTACATATGATGTCACTTAGAACAGACCAGTTTTTGAATACTTAGAGTACACAAATGTCATTGTGAGACAGGCAAACACAAAAGCTGAAGCTTACATATTCCCCTGAAACGGCCCACACTGCATGCCCTGATGTGAAGCTCTGTGTTTAATGGCTGAGACAGCAGATGACTGTTACCAATACTGACGTGCATGCATATCTAAGTGCATGTGGAGAGTACGGTAAGAATGAGGACAGTGATCCTTCTACTGTCTTGCTCTCTTTGGGAATTTATACCTTGGTATTGTGCTGCTGGTTTTAACGTCCTTTTTAAGTTTTGTATTTTGAGAAGAATAACAAAGCTCTGCTGCCTCGGTCAGTTTGGCTTCTTTGGGAGCTTTGTCCAGTAATGAGGGATGTAGATGTGGAGTAGCTCACTGAATTTCCACAGCTCCTAGTGACAACTTGCTTATGGGCATGCCTGCTGCTCCCTGCTAAATGTCCTCATCAGCAAGGGGACTGCTGAGTCACTCAGAAAATGATACACTGCTGAGGCTCTGAGATGTTGTGGCCCAAAGGAGGGAAGTGGAAGAAGAACTGAACAGAGCCTTCCCTCAAGCTCTTTCTGCGTAGAGCACTGTATTGATAACCCGAGACCATTTACTTACTGGAAATGGAGGATTCTTGTTTGTGTTTTAAAATATCTGTCTGCTTGTATACATATTTGATTAGATCCATTTCAGTCATAACTGTTGCTGGAGCAGTTTGCAAAAAGAAGATTTTGGTGAAGTACCTGTTCCAGGCTGCTCAGAATAAATGTTTCTCTGAAGCGTATGTGTGCAGTTGTGCAGGGGCCGGCTCTCACTGAGCGCCTGCTGCTGCTGCTGCTTTATCTGCTGGGTCTGTTCTCAGCCAGCCACTGAAATACTTGGACTAGTATTTGTTTCTATAATAACTAGGTAGCAGAGTATGAATCAGTCCCAGCATCTATTTACCTGCTGGGGTAGTGAGTGTTAACTAAATATTCTTGTGAGCAGTTCAGCTTAAACTTGTTGGTTGAGATTTATTTGTGAATGGAAATTGTTTGTCATGGTGCAGTTTTGATATCTGGAGTATTTTCTGACCCTGGGTTGCTGGAAGCTTTGCTGAGACAGAAAGGGAAGGGATCCACCTGCAAGAAAACAAGGTTTAAAGAATTTGGATCAAGATCTGCTGGGCACAGGGAAACAGATGGTGGAAGTTTGGTGGATGTGTTTATGGCCTGGAGCCAGTTTGTGTGCCATTGCCACTTAGCACTGGTTCCCAGTTGCCTTGTACATGAGCTGGTAAGCTTTACTGGCTAGCTAATGCTGGTTTCCTGTGCCAGGCCAGAACTGGGAACATGGTGCTGAGACTTCTCCTTGGCTCTGAATGGAGTCATACAGGCTTTCTAGTTTGGGAAGGCTGCTGGCAGGAAGGGAGAGGGAGGTCAGAGGAGAGGAAGAGCGCAAGTTGGAACCATTGTGAAGAAGGGGTGAATGGCAGCAATAGTGATGAAGCCTTGTGACCAGAATTTAGGAACCAATGAGTTAGTATAAAAGGACTGAAATAAACCCATTTATCCAGAAGGACTGATTTTTTTAATTATTATAACTGACCTAAAATAGAAGGAAAAGATTAATGAGAGTAAAACTCAATTGTTACAACCAGTCAGATTCTTCATTTACATAGCTCCTGTAGGTACTATGGGGAATTGTATGGCTTTTGTTGTTGTTTCTGTGTTTTTCCTCTCCCCTTAGTGATACAGGGTGCCATACTGGCTGGTTTAGGGCATTGTAGGAGTGTACTGCAAAGAAAAGCTTGTGTTAAGATGACTGAATGAGGAGACTGAAAATATTCTTTTTGCACAAATTAAGTGCAGGAAGACGCTTTGTCCACCTATGCTGAAATAGTTTCCAATACGTTGTTAACTTCCTGCAATGTTGTATGAATTATGCAAGGGTTTTTTCTATTTTCTGCTGATGTGCTGTGTTGGTGGTGCCTAGAAGATGCCTTATGGTTTGGACAAGTCACTGTCAAAGTCTCTGATACATGACAGTGGACAGCTAGTGTGGTGGGCTTTAGCTGATGTCTCTCTGCTGATGATAAAAGCCTTTTGGTGCTGTGCTGTTGCTTCCAAACTTGTGGCGAAAGTATGTATGCTGTAAATTATGGCTGGTTGCTGAGCTGATTACATGTGATGAGTTTGTAAAGCTTTCCTCATGGCCAGACTGTAAAGCCATATAAAATCAAGAGATAGTTTTGCAATGAATAAGCCAACTAGCGCCTAGTATTTTTGCTTAGTGTAAAGCATTAAGATCCATGTTTATACATATTTATTGGTGGCCAGGTTTCTAAGGCATTTAAATTCCCATGGCACCTGCCTTCATTTAGAATTAGACTGTTTAACATTGCTGAAAATGGAGCTGTTCATGTTTTGGGTGTTCCTTCAGGAAGCTCTGCTGGAAGAGTTTCATCTGAGGCTCTACCACCCCTTGGTATTGAGGGTGATGGATGGTTGTTAGTTAGAATTCATCCCTCAGAAAAGCTAATCAGTGAATCATAGAATCATAGAATGGTTTGGATTGGAAGGGACCTTAAAGATCCCCCAGTTCCAACCCCCCTGCCATCAGCAGGGACACCTTCCACTAGACCAGGTTGCTCAAAGCCTCATCCAGCCTGGCCTTAAACACTTCCAGGGAGGGGGCATCCACAACTTCCTTGGGCAACCTGTTCCAGTGTCTGACCGCCCTCACAGTGAAGAACTTCTTCCTAATATCTAATCTAAACCTCCCCTCTTTCAGTTTAAGCCCATTTCCCCTTGTTTTGTCATTAGTTGCCCCTATGAAAAGTCCTTCCCCAGGTTTCTTGTAGCCCCTTCAGGTACTGGGAGGCCACTATAAGATCTCCCTGGAGCCTTCTCTTTTTCAGGCTGAACAGTTCCTGCATAAATGGAAACACCATTCCTAAATGTGCCCAAATGATTGAGGGTGGAGGGGTTGGAGATGGAAGACCACCGAGTCTGTGGGCAGAAGTGCATTGGTCAGGTTGAACTCTGTGTGAAGAGAGGTAGTAATGGGGAGCAAGCAAAGGCTGGGAAAAGGGGAACCTTGGCAGTGAGATATCAAGGAGGAAAAAGAAAGGAGAGTGTTGTTAGTGTGCTGCGGCCAGAACTAGTTAAAACTAGTCATGGAAACGTTGGAAATTGCTGAACCTTATAAGAATACTTCAGATTTTTCCTTTAGAATTCAGTTGTTTACTTTTTTGTTTCTTTCTCTTGCTGCTGTAACTCCAGCTTAAGTATCTTTAACTTTTCTTTTTCCGAATCATCCCTGCTTAACCCTGGAGAGCTCAACTTTTTCAGGCTTTGGATATGATCTGTCTGGCCAGGCACCTAGAGTTTTGAGTTGTGTTTGAATTCCAAGAACAGGAAAATGTTCTTAATCTCATCTCTGTTCTCTCCTTCCACTATTTCATAAGAAGGGTGTAGTCCTTTCATCTGTTTTGTTTTCCTCCTCTTTAAATCCCGTTGGAGGCATCATTAGGCATACAGTGCCCTTCCCAGCTCTCCTTCAGTGTTAGGCTAGCATGGACTTACTCTTGCAGATTCCTATTTTTGGAGCATGAAAAGTACATGGAGTCTCATAAGCTGTCAAATACAGTGAGATGATAAAAATGTATTAATTTGTTGCTTTTTAAATTAATATTCTGGAGCTTGGATGATAATATTTGCCATGAAACTTCCTCTAGAGACACACAGAGGATGTTTTATGTTCTGGACCCTGTTTACTTTTTTTCCTTACAGCTATCCAGTGTGAGATCTGTGTGATACTTGTCTCTG